AAAATATATATTTTTATCTTGCTATCATATTATAATACGTGTTGCGAAGGAGACTAATTACAATTTTATTTAATGACGCAATATTTTTTCCTTGGTTGTAGTATCGAATTTGGTAAGAGTCCTCCTGCTTTTTAGGGGACTTACTGCAAATTTTCGAACTATTCTCCAAATTATGGAATAATGAACATCACTGAAATTGGTAATTGATCAACGTAAAATATCAATTCTAGAAGAATGACCTATTTTTAAATCTCTTTTGGATTTAAACTGATGCTTTGATAAATTTTGCCGAAACCAAAAGCCGGCGCATATTTAGAAGACAACAAGCAGAAATTCAAACGCACATTGTATCGCTTTGCACTGGTAATATAAAGAAATATGTCTTTTAAGCTCAGGCATTCAAATTATGTCACAAAATTTGTAATAGAGTCAGTGTTTGACATGAGTCCTATAACTAAGCAACGGATCATATTAGAACTTTTACATTACTATATTTCTTGTCCAAAACGTAGTTTTTATTAAGCAAAACCTCTTTATCTGCTTGATATTGATTTTCAGATAAACTATTGCAGAAAAAAAAATGTTGTGATACATCATGACTTGTCAGAAACTAAGTTTTAAAAACTGAGTGGTTGTTTTGAAAAGATATTATTCACGCCTAAGTTTAAAACAAAGAGCAGAAAGAAATACATCAATGTCACATGCGCATCGTATCCTTGAGGAATTATTTATAATGTTACATATCTTAGTTGCTGGAAATCTTTGTCACTGAAATCTAATAATTTCTGGAATAACATTATAAAAATGTTTCTTATAATGTTATAAGTAACATATGCTATAAGACAAGCTACTGCTACTAGGATGATAGGGAAGCGGCCGAGCGGTAAAGTTGCTAAATAAGTAAAATTCAATAACAAATTCGATATTTTTTTATTCAATATACATAAATATTCATTGTTTTAAAAAGCATTCTCTTATCTAAATTAAATAATTTTCCGCAATTAATTCTATGCATTTAATAGTAAACGCGAGATTAAAAAGTTTATGTACCCTTTAATCAATAACATAGGCATCATTGCACAGAATTATCTCTTCGCATTTCACTGCGCACCATTAATTCTGATATTTTTATAGCTTCAGTGCGTTATCAAACACTTTGAAAATCATTCTTTGCAAATGCTTTGAATTATTTCAGTATCAACGGAGTTTCTTAACAACTGGGAAATAAATTTTTGTAAAAGAATTTTATGTCGTTGATGATTATAGATTATTGCTGGGAAAGCTCAACGAATTTGTTCCTCTTTGAAAGAAGAAGTAATAAAACAAAAAGTTCAATCTAAAGTAATTTTATGCATATTTCACATTATACTTGCTAGTATCTAATTTATATATTTTTAAACTTTTGTAAAACGTCAAACTCGTTTGCTCCCACCCCCTCTTAGAAAAAAACTAAAATTATATCTTTCAACTTGAAGTATGGACTGAAACTTACGAAACAAATTACTTCCGTTGCTCGCGGGAATAAAATGAACATAAAACTACCGTTATTTATAATTTGCCTAATTGAGGGCTATCACAGAATTCGGATTGATAAGATTTTTATGAACTGTTTGCCTAATATTCAACAGCAAGGAAGAATCGCGTTAATTATGAAAAATGCCACTTATAACAGATACAAACTGAGAAGTGTTTGCAACGTTTGCAGGCGTTTTCAGCCTAATTAACAAAATCTAGTGGAGATGACGAAACGGTAGGAGTATATGACAGATTTTCAAGAGAAAAACATGTTGATTAAAATAAATAAATAAAAATAACAGTTATATGTACATTTTTTTTTAAAAATTGTTTAGCTTATGATTCAAAAATGAAAGCATATACACACACACACACAAAATAAAATAACAATTGCTCATTGAACAGTGTTAATTTAGGCATCTTGATAACTCCTGAAAGCGTGAAACAAATTCTGAAGGAATCAACAAGCTATATACCTTTATCGGTCATTATTTAATAGAGAATAATGATAAAAGGGTTATTAATCTCTTTAAATTATGATAATACAACATGAGCAAAAAGAATCCCTTTTTGATAGAGCACATAAAATCTTGATTTTCTGACTCTGGTAAGAAGATAAAAAATATGACTATTGTTTAGTATTTTTCGTACCAAATGAATTACTAGTGTGTCTTTGCAACATTAGATGGCGTTGCCGCCTGATGATTCAATTCTGGTTGCTATGGTAACGAACTTTCAACTCATAATTTATGTGATTTGTATTCTATTCTTTTTTGTTTTATTAATTGCTACTGTGCATGGAGTGAGCTGTGTCGTCACGTGGACGGCATTCCTTCTATTTCAAAGTGTTATGTAAAATAAACAAGTGATATATTACAGTCCACTTACCTTTTTTTGTGAACTAATTCATAACATTTCTGGTCCTAGCGACCGGAGAGAAGAGTTAGCGATCTTTGGATATGATGTGATTTATTCAAATATTAGCAAGTTAAATCACTTTCGATTTGTGGATTAATAAACAGCTTAGTGTTCTTTCGATTCGATTTGTGGAATATTCCCGTGGCATGGTGTAGCGTAGAAACCTCAACATTGGGGTGAGTACGTTCCAATATTTCATCTTCTTTTGCTAGAGTTGTTAGTATAATATTTATTGTTATTCATAATGGCTGATTTGAAACCAGTTTTAACTAAAAAGAAGGTTCTAAAAAGCAATATAACAACATTTAAAGGCAAGGTAAATTCGAATTTAGAACAAGCAGAAATTTTAGAGGTAAAGTTGTTCGAAACGAAACTAAATGCTTTTAACAGTAAGCTTCGTTCTATTTATGAGGAAATATTTTTGTTGTGTCCTGAAAAAACATTGTGATACATTCATTACGGAACAACAAACAATACAAGAAACTTTAGATGAATTATGGATAACTATAAATAAAAAGTTACAGAAACTTTCCAGTGACTCTGTTATCGAAACAAGTAGTGCAGCAAAAGTAAATTCGTCTGACGTTCGATTACCAAAATTAGAACTTTCTACCTTTACAGGGGAAAAAATAGATGAGTGGATTAGTTTCTATGATCTTTTTAAGGCTAGTGTAGATAACAATCCGAATATTTCTAAATGTCAGAAGTTTCAATATTTAAAAGCTTCTTGTAAAAAAAAGGCTCTGTCTATTATTGAGTCAATTCCTATTTCTGATGCTAATTATGATATAGCATTGCAACTTTTACAGGAACGTTATTCTAATAAAAGAGAATTAACTAATGCATTAATCCGTAAAATGTTTAATTTGCCAAATGTTTTCTGATTCAGCTCAAGCTATTTTACATTGTGTTGATGTAGTGAATGAATGTATACGCTCTTTGAAAAATCTTAAGCTAGAAGTTTCTGATCTTTCTGATGTTCTTTTTGTTTATCTGATAACTGAGAAATTAGATAAAAACATAAAATTTTGGTGGGAAAGAACTTTGAAAAAAGATGAATTAGGTACTATAGATAATTTACTCGAGTTTCTAAAAGACCACGCTAGAACCCTGCAGAATAGTAGAAACCAATCTAAAGATTTTAGGAAATTTTCTAATTCCAAATTAATTTCTTTAGTGTCGAGTAAAAACAGTTGTATAATGTGCAAGGAAGATCATTCTCTTCACAAATGTGCTAAGTTTTTAAACTTAAGTGTCCAAAAAAGAATCGAATTTGTTAAGAAACACAAACTTTGTTTTAATTGTTTATCTTCTCAGCCCCTCATTTAGTGAAAAACTTGTCGTAGTTTACATAAATGTATGACGTGTAAGTTACCTCATCATACTGTTCTTCATTTGATGATCGAAATATCAAAACTAGTGAAAATGAGAAAACCAAAACAAACGTCCTCACTTCTCCCCCAAAGCCGAAGTGTTCTTACCAAAGAATGAAGTGTTCTTACCAAAAATGTTGTTACAAATGCCACAACATGTACAGGACAATTTAGTTATTCTAAAGGTGAATCAAAACGTGTATTACTGTGTACTGCTCTCATTAAAGTTAGTGATTCCAATGGTAAAGCCATCCCTTGCAGGGCTTTACTAGACTGTGGCAGTGAAGCCAGCTTTATAAGTGAAGAGTGTGTCAGTAAACTAAAGTTAGGCAGATTTAACAAAAAAAAAATTGAAGTATCGTGCCTTGGTTCGTTCAACACTGTAACAAGTGGAGAAGTGGAATTAATCTTTACCCCGCACTTTGAGTCAAATTCCCAAATTTCGAACATATGCATTCGTGATTCCAAGGATAACTTCAGATGTGCCTAACGTGTCGCTTCCTTCTAAAATTGCGAATCATTTTGACGATCTAGTCTTAGCTGATCCTAAGTTCTATGAAAGAAAACCAATAGATATTTTGTTAGGTGTAAATGTATTTTTTACTATGCTTAAGGGAGACATCATAAAGAGAGGAGAATCATTACCCTTTGCAATTTGTTCTCAGTTGGGTTGGATCATTTCCGGGAACACTATTACTGATGATTCGAATCTAACTAACACTTTTACAGTGAATAATCTTCAGTTGAATACAAACGAATTAGTTGAAAGATTTTGGTCTTTAGACTCCATTCCGGAAGTCAAACGTATTTCAAGTGAAGGATAAAAAATGTGAGAAGTTCTTTAAAAAACAACACACTTCCGTGATCAAAATGGTCGTTATGTAGTGAAACTTCCATTTAAAGATAACCCTTCAAGGTTGGGTAATTCTAAAGATCTTGCTTTACAAAGATTTAAATCTTTAGAGAGAAATCTCTTAAGATCTCCTGACACATATGATATGTATAAACATTTCATGAAGGAATACTTGGATCTCGGGCACATGGAACCAGTCCGTAGTTCAGAGTCCCCAAGTCAGGCATACTACATGCCACATCATGCAGTAATTAAGGAATCTAGCTCTACGAGTAAAAATACGTGTGGTATTTAATGCTACTAGTAAGTCTTCATCAGGACTGTCTCTTAACGACATATTGATGACAGGTCCCAGAATACAACAAGAGCTGTTTCCAGTTTTGGTCAAATTCAGATGTTACCCAGTAGTTGTCACAGCTGATATCATGAAAATGTTTAGACAAATTCTAGTTAATGAAGAGGATAGAAACTTTCAAAGGATATTTTGGCGGGACCGTCCAAGTGATCCTATTCAAGAATTTCGATTTAATACTGTCACATACGGCACTGCCTCGGCTCCATATTTGGCTACTCGTGCTTTATACCAACTTGCCTACGATGAGCAGAATAACTATTCTTTAGCTTCGAAGGCTGTACTTCAAAACTTTTTTGTAGATGATTGTTTGGTAGGTGCTGCTCAAAACAACTGAAGAGTGCAAAAATCTAGTAAATCAACTCTTGCAAATGTTGGAACGTGGAGGATTTCTTCTGCGTAAATGGTCATCCAATGACTTGTCAGTGTTAGAGAATATACCCCAGGAGTTGAGAAATGATTCTGAGGCTATGAAAATTCAAGACGATAGCTCAATCAAAGTTTTAGGAATTAATTGGAACCCCCGTGAAGACTACTTTAACTTTTCCGTATCCATTTCTGGTGAAAAGCTTAAATACTCTAAAAGAGATATCCTTTCTGATTTAGCGAAAATATTTGACCCATTGGGTTGGCTTGCTCCTTGTATTATTTATGTCAAAATCTTGATACAAGAGATGTGGAAACTCCATTTATCGTAAGATGAACCTGTTAGTGATGAGATTGCTAACAAATGGAAGACTTTCCGAAATGATTTACATCTTATTCAACAATTAAAAATACCGAGATTTGTTTTGATTCCTGATGTGAACTATATTGATATCTGTGCTTTTTGTGATGCCTCCGAGAAAGGCTACTGTGCAGCAATTTATTTGCGTTCAATGTCACGTAATTTGGACATCAAAGTAACACTCTTAACATCAAAAACAAGAGTTGCTCCTCTGAAAGTGCAATCATTACCTCGATTAGAGTTATGCGCCGCAGTTTTGTTAGTGAATTTGCTTAAATCAGTGTTAGAACATTTAGAGTTTCCTATACGTAAAGTTTTGGCCTGGACAGATTCAACTGTTGTACTGTCCTGGATTTCTGCAGAACCATACCGTTGGGTTCCCTTTGTTGCAAACCGCGTTGCTAAAATACAGAATACAATTCCTAATGTAAGGTGGAACCATATCAATGGAAAGCGGAACCCAGCTGATTCAGGTACAAGAGGAATATTTCCAGCAGAATTTCTGAAGTGTGAACGATGGTTCATTGAACCTACTTGGTTATATTCACAAGATTTCGAACCATGTCCTGACAGTGAACATCTTTCTGATGTAGATTATGAAGGAGTTCGTAGAGAAGAAAGAAAAACTTGCATTTCAGTATCTTGTGCGGCAAAGGAAAATGACATTTTTAAACGGTATTCATCTTGGACAAAATTACGTCGTATAGTTATTATGCCTAAGATTTATTTACAACTGTCGAAACTTCTCCGAAAATCGTTGTGAATGAAAGGTTTTCTGACAACCGATGAGCTTCGATTAGCTACAAAAACAGTGATAAAAAATGTCCAAGAATCATATTTTCCTCAAGAGCTCTCTTATTTAAAAACATCGAGAGAATTAAAAGGTGTGAGCAGCCGAGTAATACAATTAACTCCCTTCCTTGATGAAGAAGGCGTCATTCGAGTAGGTGGTCGCTTAAAAAATGCAAACATTCCTGAAAATAGCAAACATCCTATTTTGCTTCCAAAGGAAGGACATGTCACTAATCTCATCGTAACTCATTACCATGTCAATTATTTGCATGCTAGTCAAGAGTTATTAATAAGCACTTTACGAATGCAGTTTTGGATTCTTGCGGTGAGAAGCGTAGTGAGAAAGATTATTCACAGATGTATTCCTTGTATTAGAAATCGAGGAAGACTGTGACCCAGATAATGGGTGTGATTTACCCTCGCCCAGAGTTCAACCATCAAGACCTTTTGCAGTCACCGGTGTTGTTGATTATGCTGGTCCATATTCTATTAAGTCCCAAGTTGGGAGAAGAACAGCTAAAACAAAAACTTTCAAGTGTTACATATCCATTTTTGTGTGTTTTCTCAAAACAAAAGCTGTACACTTGGAGTTAGTCAGTGATTTATCAACTTCAACGTTTTTAGCAGCTCTAAAACGATTTATCGCCCGACGAGGCAAACCATCTAAAATTTCGAGTGACTGTGCTACTAACTTCAAAGGTGCTAGTAAGGAACTGAAGGAGATTTATAAAAATGCAGCTCGCATTGAGAAAAGCAGTGAATTATGTGACTACATTACCTCAGAAGGTATAACTTGGTTATTTAATCCTCCGACATCTCCTCACTACGGTGGCTTGTGGGGAATCTAATGTGAAATCCATGAAATTTCATCTTAAACGAGTATTAGGAATCCAAACTTCTAACTTACAAGGAATTTTTAACAGTGCTTACACAAGTGGAAGCGTGTATGAATTCCCGTCCTCTTTGTGCGATGTCTAGTGATCCAAACGACTTTAGTGCATTGACTCCAGGTCATTTTCTGATTGGAAGCCCCTTTGCTTGCCATTCCGGAATCTGACTTGAGTGATGTGAAATCTTCACGACTTAAACGTTGGTCTCTAGTTTCAACAGACTGTGCAACATTTTTGGAAACGATGGTGTGCAGAATATTTAACAAACACTTCAACAACGTGCTAAGTGGTTTCGTGCGTCTCCAAATCTAAAATGTGGTGATTTAGTTCTGATCAAAAACGAACAACTGCCTCCAAACCAATGGAAAATTGGAAGAATTGCCTTAATTCATCCAGGTAGTGATAAAAAAGTTCGAGTGGCTACAATCCATACAGCCGCTGGTAATTTCAAACGAGCTGTTACTAAATTGTGTCTTATCCCCAATCATGACTAATATGAACTATGAACTATTGACTTTTTTCATATTATTGAACTTTAATTTTAGTTATATTTTCAATTAATTTTTTTTGTTAATGTTATTATGTATGCTTTAACTATTTGTCTTTTTTGAACCCTTAGAAGGCTTCAAGGCCGGGGGCTATGTTTAGTATTTTTCGTACCAAATGAATTACTAGTGTGTCTTTGCAACATTAGATGGCGTTGCCGCCTGATGATGATTCAATTCTGGTTGCTATGGTAACGAACTTTCAACTCATAATTTATGTGATTTGTATTCTATTCTTTTTTGTTTTATTAATTGCTACTGTGCATGGAGTGATGTGAGCTGTGTCGTCACGTGGACGGCATTCCTTCTATTCCAAAGTGTTATGTAAAATAAACAAGTGATATATTACAGTCCACTTACCTTTTTTTGTGAACTAATTCATAACAACTATAAACGGAAAAGAAGCAAAATTCTTATGAAGAAATTTCAGTGCATATTTTTCGGTCCTTTTTACTTCCTTGTACGAAGTAAAAAGGAAGTACTGTAATCGCGAAAAGTTTCAGGCAGCATATTTCAAAGAAAATATTCATTTTGACTACTTTCGAATGCAATTTAACGATTGTTTTGCTTGATACCTGTGCATAAGGACAGAATAAAAGACTCGTTAAAAATTATAAAACTGCTTTGAAATAAATTCTGAAGAGAATTTTTCGTGGCGTCTGTACGAACGTATGTACGTACGTACGTACAAATCTTTCATAACTCAAAAACGAGTAGCTCAGAACGTTGAAATTTTGTATATAGGACTACTATAACATGCAATGTGCACCTCGTATTTTGGTTGCAATCGGCCGCGCCAAACGTATATAAATATATTTATATATATATCAACTCTGTTACCCGGCTCAGAATCTCAGTTTCTTTACTCTTATATGTTTGTAAATTGTACATTGTTTGCTTTAAAATGATTGAATTATGTTGTTCTTATCTTCCTGTTAAGGTTTTTATGCCTTTAGTAAATCTGTATGCAATATTTTTAGAATAATCAACAATTTTAAAGTTGTTTAAGTGCCGCTAAGCCTTTTTTTTATGGCGGCCATTGATTGTTTACATTTGAAACAGCATACTAGTGGATTTGTTGCCAATCTAGAGAAACTTAGCTTCGCAATAACAAAGATAACGCCTTTATTTATTATTACCAATTAGATCATGCTTAATCCTTTCTGGAATTTTTTCGAGGAAATAAGTGTTTAAGATTTACTTCGTAATTTTTAATATAGAGCGAGGGTAACTTCATTGTGTCACATATAAAGAAATATAGACTTTGCTACTAATTCTGAGGCCACTGTAAGTAGACGAGCCCTGGAATAAGAATTGAGACTGCTTAGGCCTGCTGACATTATTCGAGATTTGGAAGATTAAGAAACCATTCATTTGGATTTAACTGACTCTTAGCAATTACTGAAACACGTGCGTTACCTTCACATCATACGTCTAAATATACGGAAATATATAAAACACTAAAGTTTCAAAAGAATTCCGAAATAAATGGCAAAATCAACGGATACTTTTTGGGCCGGTAGCTAGGCGCTCATGCCCGATTTACTTGTTGCTTTACACGAAAATAAGCCGTTATAATGTACCCGGCAACTGTTACTTTTCCTTATTAAATTTGATTATTAATTGTAACATGTCTATCTTAACTAAGATTTCGGCTTTCCTAGTTAATGTTAGGGATATTTTCGTATGCACGTGTTACTCACACGTACATCATTGGTGACCCTGTCCCTCGCTCCTTCTGTTTCGATCCCTAATGACTATCTGTCTCAATCTTTGTTAAAAAACTAAAAATATGCCTTATTTTGATGCCAATGCTCTTCCTTATGACTGATAAAGGCTCCACCCTATTCATTTCCTCCTCATTTTATCGTACGGATTACACGTGGTTTATCACACTTAAGGAGGATTTACAGGTATGTGGTCAAATTTTTTTAATTATCTGTGATTGGTCTTAATTATGTTTTTGTGATATGTTTTGCTCTAAAATTATAGTTTTAATTTAATTATTGATTGTTTAAAATTGATCTTTGAGTAATATTTGTGCTCACACTTTTATTGAGATATTGAATGTCTTCGTTATTTTATTCTAAATTGATACTGTTTTGATAAGGTATAGTGCAAAACATTAAGTTTACGATTTACGATATATTTATAATTGGCAACCATGCCAGGATCGGAAGGCCAAACCAACGAGGAATCGAATATGGCGGTTCAGGAGCCACAAATCTCACACGTGGCAGTTAAAAATTCCCCCTTTATGGAAAAATAATGTTAAACTTTGGTTTATTCAAGTTGAAAGTAACTTTGCTTTAGCGAAGATTAGTAGCGATAGTACAAAATACAACCACGTGGTTTCTTCGATAGACCCTGAAACTCTTTCCGCAGTATCAGATATTTTATTTAATCCCCCAGCGACGGCTAAATATGATGCCCTTAAAGCTAGGTTAATAGGAGAATTCTCAGATTCGGAAAGCGAGCAAATACGCAGACTTATTTCTGAATTGCATTTAGGGGACGACAAACCATCTCACTTATTGAGAAAAATGAGAGAATTAGGTGGAAACTGTATAACTGACGAATTTTTAAAATCATTATGGCTGCAAAGGTTACCTTCCGAGGTGCATGCCATTTTATCAATAAGTTTGGAATCCTTAGACAATTTAGCAAAAATGGCTGATAAGATAGCTGAAGTGCGCACGCCAACGAACAACAGCGTGTTCGCGGTCCAGGCAGCTTCGGCCAGTTCCCCCAGAAACCCTAACGATTCTGGTGCCCCCCTCGAGGAGCTTAAGGCCTTAAGGAGTGAAATCTCTGCCCTAAGTAAACAAGTCGAGCGACTCTCCCGCGGAAAAAACGAGGAATAATTTCCCCCGGGATCAACATAACAAAGCACGTAGTTTTTCGCGTGGGCATTCCCGAGAGCGTGTGAACAATTATTGTTATTTTCATTCGCGATTCGGTAGTAATGCACGAAAATGTCGAGCACCTTGTTCCTTTTCTCAGAACACTACGGCCCAGGAAAACTAGTAGTAGCGGCTATCGATCGAAATTCATCGGCAGTCGCGCATTCATGTCGTTTACATGTTTACGATAACAGATTAAATTTAAACTTTTTGATTGATTCGGGCTCGGATGTTTCATATGTGACACCGACTTCTAAGTTTAGGAAAATGCATCCTGATTCGCTTCAATTATTTGCCGCGAATAATTCCAGAATTTCTACGTATGGAACAAAATTGTTAACTGTGAGTTTAGGACTTAGACGAAACTTTTCTTGGAAGTTTTTAATCACCGATGTACCAGTGCCTATAATAGGAGCCGACTTTTTAAGGCATTTTGATCTTTTAATCGATTTAAAACGAGGTAGGCTTATCGATAATACTACGAAATTAACTCGTATTGGTTCTCTTTCCGATTCTAAAAATTATTTTTCGGTAAAGTTAATATCTGGTGATTCACCATATCACAGAATCTTGAAAGACTTTCCTAAAGTACTGAAGTTAAAATCCGATTCGTGTAGAGTAAAACATAGTACGGTTCATTACATCGAAACATACGGTCCTCCTGTGCACAGTAAACCGCGTAGGTTAAGCCCTAAGTTATACGAAGCAGTAAAAAAAAGAATTTCAATTTATGATAGATCAAGGTATTTGTAGACCATCAAAATCAGCATGGTCATCACCTCTTCATGTAGTTTCTAAAAGTTCGGGCGACATACGGCCAGTAGGAGACTACCGAAAACTAAACGCGTGCACCGAACCCGACAGATACCCTATCCCGCATTTACAAGACTTTAATAATACGCTTAGCGGAAAGACAATTTTTTCAAAAATTGATATCGTTCGGGCATATCATCATATACCAGTCCATCCAGATCATATACCGAAAACTGCAGTTTGCACCCCATTTGGTCTTTTCGAATTTCCGTTTTTAAATTTCGGACTGTGCGGAGCAGCTCAAACCTTTCAAAGGTTTATGAACGAAATTCTTGGAGATCTAAAATTCGCCTACGTCTACTTAGATGATATTTTGATATTTAGTCATACGGAAGATGAGCATAAATCTCACCTACGTACTGTTTTTGAAAGATTAACTTCATATGGATTGACAATTAACGCTTCGAAATGTGTTTTCGGCGTTCCGGAAATATCTTTTTAGGCCATATAATCAATAAAGATGGTACCAAGCCTCTGACGAACAAAGTGGAACCGATACTTAACTACCCACTTCCTAAAACGGTAAAAGATTTGCAGAGATTTTTAGGATTTTTAAATTTTTACCGTCGATTTTTACCCAACGTAGCCCAGAATCAAATACATTTAACTTCGTATTTAAAAGGGGCTAAGAAAAATGATAAGACAATCCTGAATTTGTCTGAGGAAGCGCGGAGTGAATTTCAAAAGTGCAAACAGC